AACCAAGTTGGTGATTTGGTATTAGCTTGCTGTCGTTTATGCCAATGGAAACAGACTATAGGTCTATATGATTTTATGTCTTCGGGAGTCTTTTCTGCCTTAGGTATTAAAATAATTTGAGCTATTTTCCATTGAGAAGGAAAGTGTCCAGTTCTTAAAATTGTATTGAAGTTAATTGATAGGAACTTGATCCCTTTCTTTTGTACTTCTTTTAAGATGTTTTTAAAAATAAACATTGACTTTCTAAGGTTTAATTTTATCATTTTATCACGTATCAATTATTGTACATATCCATAATAAAGAAATTCTTGTATTGTTATTTAAATGTTTGAATGTGATATACAGAATTAACTGAGATCAAATTTTCCATACTTTTTATTATTCAATTTATTATAATATACAATTACTTCATAAATGATAAATAAAAGAAATGTATAGAATTATAAACTTTTAAAGTTAAAATTTAGCGGTTTGAAACTATTAAATAAATTTTATAAATATATTAAGTAAAAAGGAGATATAAAAAATATAAAAAGTATTTTTAATTATTTATTGACTCATTTATTTATTTTTAAAAATTTAATTAAAATTACACACATTACACACATGTGAACATTTGGAGTGGGAGGATTAGATGCACAAGGAAACTTAATACAATCCACTCCTAGTTAACGTACTTAATCCATACGGAAATTATCATATGCTCAACGAATGTTTGTTAATCAGATGGTAAATTATCATCAAAATGCGTGTATTTACATTTTTTAGTACATACATTTATATATGCGTATTTGAGTTGTAAAAACATATAATTTTTCTTTATAGTTTTCTTTTTAATTTGACTTCAATTGTTCTGAAACATTTATATAACCGGATATCTAACCGGATTATAGCAAATCCGGATTGATCAAAGTCGGACTATGCCAATTTTTTTTTTTAATATTAATTTAGTATGTAAAAACTTATTTTATAATTAATATTATAATAAAAAATATTATAATAATAATTATGAAGTTTGAATTGATCGAATTAATATTTCATATTCCTTGGGTTTCTAAAAATAGAAAGAAACATTTATTTAAAGTACAACATGAAATTATTATATAAATTCATAGATAAAACATGTTTTGTTAATAACTAGATGTTATCATTACCAATTTAGTAGAAGAATGTAATGGCGTTAGAAAAGGTAAAAACTGATGAAGAGTTTTGACAAGGAAATGCAAGGAACACGGTTTGGTGCACTAATCAAATAAAAAGTAACTAAACATGTAGAAATTTGAAATTATAAAATCCATTTTGTTTTATTCTTGAAATTTGTTTTCGTAAAAAAAACATGTTTGTCTAATAAAAAGTTAAATAATTGCTTCAATCCTTGTTTGGTAGATGTTTTTAATTTAAAAAAATTGCATTTAATATAACGATTTGATAATACGAAAATATTTAATTATCACTGATTTATTTAAATTTAAATTAAAAAATAAATTTAAATTATTGTTTTATTACATTAATAAAATAAAAGATTCTTTTTCTTGGAGTTAGGATCTAATGACAAGTTATGATAGAATAAAGGAAAATGTCTTCCTAGAAAACTAATAACAGGTAAAAAAAATGTAGTGTATATATGCAAAACAAATGTTCATCATCAGTTACAATTGAACTCTCTTCGTAAAGAGAACTTTAAAGTAGTAATATTTTTTCACATATTTTGTATCCACTTTATAATACATTCAACTACTAAAATGGTAAGTGTAGATTTTATACTTTTGATTAAATATTTTTATAAATATTTCTTTCGATTTTTTAGCATCCCTAGGAATGTGAAAGATTGATTCGTTCAGTATTGAAGTCTATGTCAACAGATTAGTCACAAGCGTATTAGTCAAAGATTTTTTGGATCTCGTAGGGAATGAAATTCCCTTCAAACAATATGGATTTCCTACTTTAATAGAATATTTAAATTCTATTCATTGGATTCTACAGGTATGTCTAAAATTATTTATTATTTTTTGTTCACCTCTTATGTGAAATGTTTTATTTATAGGTTGATCTGGATGATAATATAATTCAGGTAGTTCCTTCAAAAAAGTCGGAACATATTTATCGAATGATACAAGACGAGATGGGCAGAGAGAACTGGGATAAGGTGAAGAATGATTTCACTACACGCTGCTTGTAATTTCACAGAAATAATAGATCCACGAGCAAGATAGAAAATGAATAAAAAATTATGAATAATAAAACTTGGCTTTGTGACTTAGCTTTTCTTACCGATTTTACTTCAATATTAAGTTAAGTTAAATTTAGAATTACAAGGTAACAATAAGACAGTAATTGATGTGATCAGCTCCATAGATGCATATAAAACAAAATTTATTTTGATGATAGAAGATCTGCAACATTAAATAATCTGTTTTAATTCCTCGGACATGAGTTTTTTTTGTGCCCGTTAAATAATTCTGTTATTTTTACGTAGATAGATATATAAACATAGTACATATTTCACACTTCTCCCTATGACGACAACAAGTCGATCGCGACAATTTTAACAAACGCATGGCACCTTTAGTTGCTGGTAAATTTATTGCTCGCTAGGTGCAAATAATTGAAGTGCTTCAACCATGTTCAACTAATTTTATTATTCTTTCATAATTTTTATTCCATTAGCATTTAATAAATAAAACAATAGTGAGAATACTTTATTTATTACTTTAAATTTTCTTACTTATAATGAATGTAATTGTGAAACTATGAAACAATTGTTTTTTTTTAATTTCTTTTATTTTGTTCAGTGAAAATACTTATCCTGATTTCATTGAAAGAAAGGACTAGTGATATATTGAAAGCCTTTAAAAACTTGCTCAATGATTTGAAAATACCACTTTTTAAATTGGTTTCAATAACAACGGATGGTCGCATAAATGGATTTATAGCCAAGAGTTAAAAAGAAGATTAATTCTCAGTTTTTTTTTGAGCTACCATTGCATAATTCAGCAGCAAGTGTTATCTTATAAGAGACTAAATACAAATAAAATAATGGACATAGCGTTTAAAATTGTTAATTCAATTCGAGGAAGTTCCCACAAACGGCGTCCCTTCCAACCTGAATTATTACTACATACCCATATGTAAGAGGTAAATTTCTGTAAAGATTTTGAGATTTAATGCCAGAAATAATGAAACTTGGCTTAGTGACTTAGCTTTTCTTACCGATTTTACTTCAATATTGAGTAAATTAAATTTAGAATTACAAGGTAAAAATAAGACAGTAATTGATATGATCAGCAACATAGATCTGCAACAAAATAATCTGAAACATTTTCCAAATATGGCGGATCACCTACAAAAACATACAAATATTAAGTCGAGGAAATTCAAAAAATAACTGAAGATTTTGAGGTAAGACTTCAAGATTTTCAAAAAAATTGAAGAAATTGTGCAATTTATACGGATTAGCAAAAAAAATTCAGACATATTTCATATTAAACAAGACTAAACAACGTTCTGTCCTGACTGATTCCAATACTGAGGATTCTTTATTATTATCTTTGTCAGGATATACACCTAATTATGATTCTTTTGATAGAGACATGCAAATACAGTCTTTCAATTAATGCTAACTTGAATGAATAAATATTGTAAATAATTACTCATGTTGTTTTAATTACCCTGGACATGAGTTATTTGTTACCCATTAAATAAATATTTTTTTTACGTAGATAGATATATGAACATAGTATTCCCCCATTTAGATTACGCCTATGATAACAAGTCGATCGCGAAACATTTTTAATTTAAAAAATCGATCTTATGCACAGAAAAGTTGGCTACTTATTTAAAATAAGAAGTTGTGAAGAAGATATATTGAGATACTTGGAAATTACATTGTCAGTTGAAATGTAAAGCTTATGCCACTTTACAGCTTTACATATATTACAAACATTAGCAGTATCTGCAACAGCTGAAATATTGTTTTCTAAATTAGAATTACCACAGAGGAACTATTAGCAGGACTGGCCTAGTTATAAATAGAACTAGAATTGGCACACAATTAAAATTTTGTATATTTTACTTTGAAAATTACAGATATACTATCTGAATAACTTTGATTATTAAAGAGTTTTTATTTTTTTACTATATACACCATAAAGACCATGCTATAAATCCTTCCGTGATGATGCCCGTCGTCCTGCAGGTAATTTAGAACAGCGGTCACCAACCGCTGGTTCGAGAGATAATTTCGGTGGTCCACAAAGTAATTTGAGTATATTTGTAATTTT